TTGTATTAAAAAATCTTTTGGTCAAAAGATCTCCTCTTTCCTGCTGTTACACACAGGGTGTGGTGCTCTCTGTGTCATTTTTGTGACATTTTTATATTTATCAGAAGCTACAGTTCTTAATACCCACACTCATATACAATTAAATGTTCAAATTACTTTGAGTCTTCCTAAATGTTTTATTTCTCTTATCTAAATCATAGAAAACACAACAATTACTGCTAAACCAATAACTTCAATGTAGAAGAAATTGCAAATTAAAGTGACATAAAAGAAAAAACAAACCTCATTGGTTTTGAATGTCAGAGTGGTTCTTTTGTGAAACAAAGAATGGCTGTACAAAGCCATTTATTGTTATGGAGGGACGCTCCTGTATTGAAGTTTGTGTCCTGGTTGCAGGGGATCAGACATTGGGCTTAACACTTATATAACTGAGTAGCATTCATATGGTTAGGTTTTTAACAAATCTTTAAGGAAATACATCAGTTTCTCTTGCATTTTGATTATAGCATTGATTTAAGATTGGGTGGCCACAGCACTTTTGGGTTTGGAAATAGCTGGGATGGAAATTTCATAAACAGTGACCCTGAACCTTGAGTCTCTTCAAAAAGGGCATCAGCTACTTGTTTCCTCATTTACCTGCTACTCTAGATGTTCAGACCTCTTTACATAGACTTAGATCTCCATGGATCATTATCTGAGATGTCACAAAGGAGGGGCGTCATTCCCGCTGGTCACCCTCGTAGTTTAGGAGGATTTAGCGAGAACAAGCCACGTCTGCCATTCTGCAATAACGTGGCGCACAGCGTGACGTGGAAAAAGGCACATACCTTTGACGTTGCGTGACAAACTCTGTATTCCTCGTCCACACGTAAAAGCAAAAAAGGAGTTTTAAAAAAATCTCAGTTTTCGGTGATTCGAAACGCCGTTTACGTGTGGACGAAACAGCTGCGTTTTCAAAAATACCCGTGTAGGTGTGGACGCAGCATAAAAGAGTTAGTAGTTTATTTTATTACTACCTGTAATTTATTGCAGATTACTTGTATTTGCTTAATTGTTTACTAAATGTTTGAGGTGTGAAATAAACTGCAATGGAGCAAAATATGGGTGTGTGTGGTTGGAGGATGTGTGCGCGCGTGCACGCGGGGGGGCGCGAACATTTTTCTTGTAAAACAAAGGGGGGCCCAGCAAAAAACGTTTAGGAACCACTGGATTAAGCACTGCTTCCAGCCAAGACTGATACCATAAATCCCCTATAGCTGCAGAAGAGGCTAACATTGTTATCTTTTTACAAAAAAACAGCTGAACATGAGAGGTTTTTGGACCAATTTTGTGTTCTCCATTCTTTAAGCACCAGTTCGAGCACCGTTTCAAAAGTACTGGTTTGGTACTGGTATCGGATAAAACCTAAACGATACCCATCCCTACTGGTATGTAATTTTTCTTTTGTTTTGGTTTCCCCATGGAAGATATATTCAAGCTAAAAGTTGATATGTAAAAATTTGTGTAAAAAATGGTTAAAAGTATAAGTAGATGTTACACATACTGCTCTAAAGTACGATGTGTCTTAAAACGTCTTCAATATGTGGGTAAAAAGGGCATTTATGGTGCAAATATGGCAACTGTCAGTCTGGGATATTGAATTTGTGTACTTAAGATGCATTTTGTATCAAATTGATAAAATATTTTGGTCATGCATGTGGTTTTTTTTATCCTGAAAGATGTCTCGAGAGACAACATATATACAGCAAGGTGTTGCTGGATAAATGTTGAGAGGGGCAATATTGACAGTGAATTGGTTAATAAAATATACCTGAGGAGGATTCAACCTTTTTGGTCACCATTGTGGGGGGTTTTTTCGGGCATTTAGTGCATGGTACATTTTACACAACTGTTGACAGTCACTGCAACCCAGTACCTGTTACATATGAAACAGGCAAAAGTTAATATATGAAGTATAATAAAACCAATCAAACAAATCATCTGATAGATAACTGAACAGAATACATAGCCAGAGTCAGAGACAAGTGCAGCAGTCTTGAAGTTACGACGCCCCAAGCAAGAGGGCTGACAGATTATGTCTGGTTCTGAAAGAAAACAGATAAATCATGAGATGGACGACAGGTAGTGTGTTTCCTCTCTCGCTTCTACCAGATCTTTATTTATACACATTCACGTGTTCACAACAGGTTGCAAAAACTTCTTAACTTCTCTGTCTCACATTCCCAAAGCCCAAAATCAGAATAAACTAAAATAATATAAACAAAAATCTAAACAGTCATCTCTGTTGTTTGTTACTAAGAGCTATAAATCACACTCTTTTTTTCCCACACATAGTTTGATAAAACAAACATTCCAGTACTGTACCATATACTAATGATGTATCTGTATAGTGGAAATCTCCACATCAACATTGCAGAGCGTTCAGGATTATTATAGGTTATTACACTAACTTTAGACAATAACAGTGACAACACATCAAACTCTCTCTGCTAGCACATTAACTCAAATATACAGGAGCCGTGGTGTACTTTTGTTACAAGAGGGTGCCTTAAGTTTAGAAAACAACAAAGCCGACGGCTAGTCCAGCATGCGGCGAGCTAAGCTAGCTCCTACTCTCGATCTTAACACATTTCAACAAACGAATACAGTTCTCAGCAAAACAAACTGCTGGTCGGGTTTTAACCTTATTTGGTATGTAAATTATGTGGACCACATGTGTTGCCTTATTACTTACTAACCTGAAAGAAAACAGATAAATCATGAGATGGATGACAGGTAGTGTGTTTCCTCTCTCACTTCTGCCAGATCTGAAGACGAGCAGTAGCGTCACACTAAACCATCTCACTAGGGCGGAGGTGCCCCCTTGTGGCGTAACTAGGGATCACACCACATGTTGGGTCTCCAACAAAAATCACAAAATTAAGGCCCTTCCTTAACAAAACTACACCTACAGGCTTATACAATATACAAAAATTAAATCACATAATGTGACCACACATTACAGTGTGTTACGCGCTCCCTGACAAAATAAGAATGGCTCCTGGCATTCAAACCTCAATTTTTCTCAAAAACATTGACACATACACTTATTCAATATAGCAAAGGTGTGTATATGTAAGATGTGTAAACAAATGGAAGGTAAGGTGTAAAGCCTGTGGGTGTTGGAATATGATAAGGAACTGTCCATGGTGGCATGTAGGGTGAGGAGAGTGTTGCAACTGTAGGATGAGGCTGGTACGATGGTTCACCCAGTGTTTGGTATGTCAGGATCTGCCTTGGTTTCCTCTCCCTAGTCGACCTTCTCATGTCGCTAGTAGAACATTGTGGAGGGGTGCGTGCACACAGTTCTTCCTTATTTGGAATTGACAGTTCATCATCTTCCCTGACAGGTACTTTTGCATGACTGTTTTCTTCAGCGGAGGCTGGGTCGGGCTCTCCTGCAGTAGATATCCTATGGTAAGTCTTTCCTTTGATGGGCTCTCTTTCTTTTACAGGAAGCCTCAACCAGAATGTTCCATTGCTCTCTTCAGAGTCTGAGTCACTTGTTTCAGTCTGTTGCCTTCTCCTGCCTCTGTCCCCTGACAGGTTGTTTGATTTCGTTTGTCTCTTTGGTGTAGGCCCAGGAATGTGCTGTGGAGTCTCAACTGGCAAGTCATTCACAAGTAGTTACAAGTAACAAGTTGCGGTGAAGCACTCTAGTCTTATCCTTGTCTCCTGCTTCTCGGTAGACTACATACACGGGGTTGTCGGCTACCTGTGCTTTGACTACGTAGATACTCTTTTCCCAGTATGACTTTAGCTTTCCAGGCCC